TAAGAAAAATAAAGGAGAAACAGCATGTGATTAACATCAAGTAATGTAGAAAAAGCATTTGGTAAGATTTGTTACCTATTTATGACACAAAGTCTAGGAAACTAGGAGAAGGGAGCTTCTTGAACTTGACACAGTTTCCATGCCAAAAGTCTCAGCCACCAGCCAGAGCCGGGAGAGGGTGGGTGAGACTCTAGGAAACCCCGTTCTTCCTTCATGCCCTCGAGGCCCCTTTGAGATCAGAAACGAGACACAACTATTTCATGTAGTACTGGAGGCCCTTGTGTATGTGATAAAGAAAGAAAAAACAAAGAAAAGCTGTAATGATCAGAAGGGAGGAGATGAAATTCTCATTATTTGCAGATGATGTGATCATTTATGCAGAAGGGCCACTGGAATCAACAGAATAACCATCGGTTAGAAGTAAGATCAGCAACATCACTGGATACACATCTGTGAGACCAATAGTATTTCTAGCACTTCTCTACATCTCCAATATCCAACTGAAAGAAGATATTAATGTTATTCACGGCAGCAAGATACGAAGTCCCTAGAAAATATAAGAATAAGCTGGGCATGGTGGCACGCACCTGTAACCCCAGCTACTCAGGAGGCTGAGGCAGGAGGATCACTTGAGCCCAGGAGTTCGAGGCTGCAGCGAGCTGTGATGATGCCACTGCACTCCAGCCTGGGCGACAGAGTGAGACTCTGTCTCTAAAAAATTAAATAAATAAAACAGGTTATGTAGGACCTCTTGGTAGAAAACTTAAATAAAGACTGGAGAAGAGGATCTGAATATACAGGGAAATATACCATCACGTAGGGTATCACGTAGGGTATCACGTAGGGTATCATGTAGGGTAGGGAATGTTATAAAGATGTGCATCCCCTCCAAATAGATCTCTCAATGTAATAAAATCCTAATCAAAATCCCGGTTAGATTTTCTCAAGAAATGAATAAAGATCCACAAATAAGAAAACGTCAGGGAAAAAAAGGCTGGAGGGCGTGCTTTTTCTCTACCAGATTTATAAAGCCATAGTGATAAAAAGCTGTGGTGCTGGCACAAGAACAAACAGACACCGAGTGGCAGAGGACAGAGGACCAGCAGACCCGGTCGGTTATCTATGGGAACTTAGCATGGGATAAATCTGATGCTCTGTAGATGGTGCTGGAGATGACAGTTCTTTGTTTGGAGGAAAATAAAACTGGATTCCTACCTAACAGCACATGCAAGAGTGGCCTCTAAACGGATTGATGTAAATGTGAAGATAAAAAGTGAATATTAATAGAAGACAATATTGGAGAATATTATCATGATCCAGCACAGTAATAAAAGGTTTTTTAAATGAAGTTTCAAAGGCACAAAACATAAGCACCAACCCTCCCCTACAGAAAAAAAAAACAAACCCTCGATGGATTTGACTACTCTAAAATTAAGGAGTTTTATTTAATGAAAGACACTTTGGCCCTCCGCCTGCACCTGCGGAGCCTGTTCCTGTCGACTGACCTGAGTCTGTGAATTCTCCGCTCTGACCCCGTCCGGACTGCCCCCGCCTCAGCTTTCTGTTCTTTGAAAACACTAAGAATAATGTCCCTGCATCAGCTTTTACTAGAGCCAGTCTCCTGTTGTGCCTGGAACAGGGATCGCACTCGAATTGCCCTGAGCCCCAGTAATCACGGCGTGCACATCCGTAAGAAGAGGGAGCCGGTGGGCGAAAGCTCATGAACTCGAGGAGCACAACGGACACATCACAGGGCTCCCAAGAGCGACCGCATCGTCCCTTGTGGGGCTGACAGCAATGCCTATGTCTGGAAGCCAACCCTGGTGATCCTGAGAAGTGACCGCGCAGCCACTTTTGTGAAGTGGACAAATTTGCTGCGGGAAGTGGAGCAAGACTCACTTCCGTCTGTTACTTCGAGTCCGAAAATGACTGGTGGGGAAGCAAGCACACTAAAATGCCCATTCGCTCCACAGTGCTCAGCTTGGACTGCAGCCCAACAATGTTTTGCTGGCAGCAGGATCATGTGACTTCAAATGCAGAATGTTTTCTGCCTATTTTAAAGAAGGATGAAAAGCCAGCCAGTATGCCCGGGGGCAGCAAGATGCCTTTTGGTCGCTCAGCTGATGTCAGAGTTTGGGGGCAGGGCCACAGGCAGCTGGGTCATGGGGTCAGCTTCTCCACCAGTGGGAGCCGCCTGGCCTGGGCCAGTCACGACAGCACCATATCTGTTGCTGGTGGCTCAAAAGGTGTGCAGACTCGACTCTGGAAACAGAGTTCCTGCCACGCCTGAGCATATTGCTTGTCTCGGAGATTAGCATGTGGCTGTGGCCATGACTGCTGCCCAGTGCTCTTCAACTGCCACGACTGTGGCTGCTTGACCTTTGTCTCCAAGGTGGACTTCCCAAAACAGAGCATCCAGCGCAGCACGGACAAGAGGGCCACGACCGAGGACCGCAATACAGCCTTGGAGACGCTGCCCCAGAATAGCATCACTCAGGTGTCCGTTTTTGAGGTGAACAAACAAGATTGTCAAAAATTTTGCACTACTGGCATCGATGGCGCCATGACAATTTGGGATTTCAGGACCTCAGAGTCTTGTATGCAGGGCCTCCGGATAATGTGAAGCTCAGTGAGACTCTGCCATCCAGCACGACAAACGGTGGCAGCTCTGCCATTGGACAGTGCGGAAAGCCAGCCCCAAGGAAACACTGAAAACACATGTCGTGCAAATAGTGTGTGGGTTTGCTTGAGTATAAAACTGGTGAAAGTGTTAGGTTTTTAAAAGCAGCAATGACTTTTTTTGGCTATTTCATTCCATTCTTGACCAAAGCTTCTCTTTAAGTAGTTTACTATGGAAAATTGTCACACTAACCTAAAGGAAAGGGTGAGGGAGATATGTAAATTGTCCACTAGAAAATTAAATTAAAATACTGAAAAAAACAATACACTTTGGGCAAAGTTAAGAGAGAGTTGACAGAATAGGAGAAGGTGACTGCAATGTTAAAGCCAATAAGAAATTAGTGCCTAGAATAAATGAAGATCTCCTGCAGATCAACAGAAAGGAGACAGCAAAGCCAAAGAAAATGGTCCAAGGATAACAGATAATTTCCAGAAGCAGAAAACAAAATCCAACGAGCACCGGAAGAGATGATTGAAATCCTTAGCAGTGCGAGGTGGAGGGCACGTGGGGCCAGAGAGAGTCCCACGGCAGCGGAAGCGTGGCGTGGGCTGGTGCAGCCCTTCGGGAGGGCCGCCTGGCTCTGTTTTTGCAAGCCCCGTGTTCCATACCTGGGATGCAGCAGTTGCACTGAGCGCGCACAGCCCAACAAACTCACCACCTGCAGGAAGTGCGAGCGGAGTGTGAAGATAAAGGGGACAGTAAGCACACGCCTACAAGTAAGAGGGGGACCCTGCCCGGGCCAGACGTAAGAATGGACCAGGAACCAGGAGCGCACGGATGAGTGCCCTCCCCCCACGCATAAGCACCTGCAGTCCAGCACACCAGGAAGAATGGCCCAGGACCACCCTGTGACCGCGCTGTGGGAGGACAGAGGGACCGGACAAGTTCCCATGACCACGGAAACATCCATGGCCCGCAATGGGGATGCTCCGCACAGCCCAGCGCCCACAGGAGGCTGAGCCAGGCTGGTCTGACAGGATCAGAGAGAGGTGAGAAGGGCATAGAGACCGGGTTGGGGCAGCGGCGGGCAGGGGTGTGTGGGGACCGCGGCCGTGGACAGCCCCTCACCTTCAATAGCCCAGACCCAGGCCCCAGCCTGCACAGCAAAGACCCTGAGGAGAGCAAGGCCGAGCAGGAGGCGCCGCAGCGACAGGAGCCACAGCCAGAGGCAGCGCGGCAGGTCTGGCTACGCCTGGCAGGCCCTGGAGGGCCCGGAGTAGGCCACTGTGCTGCCCGGTGAGACCACGGGTCCCTGTGTGCGTGCGCGTGTGTGTGACAGGGAGAGAGTGTGAACTGGTGAGAACCGCAGTGAGCTGAGTGTGTGACAGCACGTGTGTGTGCGTGTGAGCGCGGGCGACAGCGTGTGAAAGGTTGTGTGATGGCGTGGGGGGGATGGGGTGGCGTCTTGGAACCACTACGCTGACGTTAGAAGCACTTAAAAAAAGCAAACGCAGCGAGCGGCTTCCTCCCAACTCCCCGCATCTGTGTAAAGAGGTTCTTGCTAAAGGAGCCCGGCTGCTGCCCGTCGCCTCCCGACGTTTCGTCGACCGTGACGGACTCGGCGCAGGGGAGGAGACAAGTGCGCCCCAGCCCGGCAGACTGTCCCTTCCGCCACCGTTCTCCCAAGGGCCCAAGCGGCGACACACCCTCCCCTTGCCCTGCTCAGCGCCTGCACGTCACGCTCGGGGGTGTTGTCTTTCCCCGCGATGTCCCTGCACATGGTAACTTTGGACGCCTGTGCTCGCTCCCTCCGCCCGTGACCGTCTGTCCAGTCCCAGGCCCGGCCGGCACCCGGGGCGGAGGGGGCTCCCCCCTGCAGTTGCTGCGGGCGCCCCTGCGCGGCCAAGGCGCGGCGGGCGCCGTGACTCAGCCCGGGGGCGGAGCGGGGCGGGACCACCCCTATAAGGCGCGGGCCGCGGGGTTTGCGCCAGAGCGTCGCCACCTGCGCAGCACTAGTGAGTCCGCGCGGCCCGGCCCGCGTCCCCGCACCCACCCCACCCCCGAGCCGGGACGGGGATCCCGGGGGGCCCCGGATGTCTTCGGGGCCGAGTTAGAGTGGCTCAGGGGGCCTGGAGCGCCCGGAGCAGGGAGGGGACCCAGGGGAGGGCACCCGGGGGAGGGCGGGCCGGGCGCCCTCGGCCGCGATGCGCTCCGCAGGCGCTAACAGGCTGCTCTTTGTTCGCCGCAGTGCCGCCCTACACCGTTGTCTACTTCCCGGTTCGAGGTAGGAGCCGGAGCCTGAGCCTGGGAGGGAGGGGAGCCAGGGGCGGGGGCTGCAGCCCACGGCCCCTCACCCACCCCGGGGAGACCCCAGCCCCCCAACCCTTCATCCTGTGACTACCAGCCCGGGCCTACTTCCCCGTGTTCAGCCCTTCCACCATGTACGATCCCTTCCCAGTATTTTGTTAAATCTTCGGTGGAGTCTCTGTTGCCTTGTCCCCTCCCCACCCTCCTGACCCCTCCTCGGGTCGCTATGAGGCTGGGTCTCTCCCGGAGTCCCCATGCCCCTGTCCTGTCCCCCCACACCAGGGCGTTGTGAGGCCCTGCGCATGCTGCTGGCGGACCAGGGCCAGAGCTGGAAGGAGGAGGTGGTGCCCATGGAGACCTGGCAGCAGGGCTCGCTCAAGGCCTCCTGTGTGAGTGACCATGCCCGGGCAGGGGACGGGGGCTGGGCCTTAGGGGGCAGGACTGGGGGAGGGCAGGACTAGGGTGGGGGCAGCCAAGCTCAGTGCCCCTCATGGAGCCGTGCCTCCCTCCAGCTGTATGGGCAGCTCCCCAAGTTCCAGGATGGAGACCTCACCCTGTACCAGTCCAATGCCATTCTGCGTCACCTGGGGCGTTCCCTCGGTGAGTCCTGAGGCCTGGCGGCCAGGGCAGGGGTGGATGGGGATCTGCCCTCTGAGCCCCTTTGTTTAGGTCGAGCTGCCGTGTGGCCCTCTGCATTTGGGGAAGCAGAGACACACAGCCCAGATCTGCCTGCAGCCCTTGCCCTGTGCCAGGCTCCTCTCACTGAGCTCTGAGGGTAGGCTCGACCCTCCCTCCAGGCTGTGGCCCACAGACAGCCACGTGGCCTGGCGGGCATCAGCCCGTGGTCGTGGTTGATCAGGCCCCTGGTCACTCTGTCTGCTCCCCCTGACCCCAGGGCTGTATGGGAAGGACCAGCGGGAGGCAGCCCTGATGGACATGGTGAACGACGGCGTGGAGGACCTGCGCTGCAAATACGTCAGCCTCATCTACACCAACTACGTGAGCACGGGCAGCGGGCGTGGGCGCTGGGGTGAAGGAAGAAAGGAGCCTCTCGTGCCCTCACCCCCCTGCACATGGCTCTGGCTGATCCCTCCCTCGTCAGGGTGCTGGGGCTGGAGCTGGCTCTGTGCCGGGGGCCAGGGGCTGTCGTGGACAGGACACTACCCTCACCCTCACTGCTTGGGGGCAATGGCGGGAGAGTGCAAGGACAGAGACACCAGGGAGAGGTGGTTTCTTATTGCCTGGGGTGGGGGGGCTTCCTGGAGCAACCATAGGAGCAGGAGGATCTATAGCCAGTTTCTGGAAGGAGGTGCTGGCACTTTCAGAAGAGCAAAATATATGCAGACACAGAGCACATTTGAGGACCTGGGACCAGTTTAGCAGAGGCAGAGTGTGCCTGTGTGCATGCCTGCGTCCGGTGTGTGTGTGTGTGTGTGTGTGTATGTATGTGTGTGTGTGTGTGTGTAGACAGAGATGGGGGAACAGCCAGCCCAGGTCCTGAAGGCCTTGAACCCACTGGTTTGGATTCTCCTGAGGGTAGTGGGGCATGGAGGAGTCTACGCAGGGCTCTGTCCGAATGTGAGGTCTAGGAGGAGTCTCCGGAGGAGCCAGCTCTGAGGCTTTTGCAGTAATCTGGCAAGAGATCCTGGCAGGGACAGAAAGGCAGAACGGAGTGGAAAAGAATTAGCAGCTGAAGTGAAAGCATTTGGGACTAGCCTGGTGTGGGGGGTGAGCAGAGGGGCGTCTGGGGCTCCAGTCTCTGGCCCAGTGGGTTGTGCCATTCACCGTGGCCAGCAGAAGGGGGGTGCCTCAGGGGTGGGACAGAGGCTGGGGGCCGGGGGTAGGAGAAAGATGCACGGTGGTATCTCTCCGGCAGGATGCCGGCAAAGAGGACTATGTCAAGGCCCTGCCGGGGCAGCTGAAGCCTTTTGAGACCCTGCTGTCCCAGAACCAGGGAGGCCAGGCCTTCATTGTAGGCAACCAGGTGAGCATCTGGCCCTGTCCTCCCCACCCTCTTACAGATGGACACGGGTGTGAGCCATTCATGGGGGGCAGACCTGGGGGATGGCTTCAAGCCCCCTGCCCCCATTTCTCCAGCCCCGCCTCCAGCCTGCTCCCACTGGCTAAGTCCCTGGTCCCCTGCCTTGCAGATCTCCTTCGCTGACTACAACCTGCTGGATCTGTTGCTGATGCATGAGGTCCTGGCCCCCGGCTGCCTGAATGCATTTCCCCTGCTCTCGGCCTATGTGGCGCGCCTCAGTGCCCGGCCCAAGCTCAAGGCCTTCCTGGCCTCCCCTGAGCACGTGAACCGCCCCATCAATGGCAATGGGAAACAATGAGGGCCTGTGGGACCCTCGGGGGAGACAGAGCCTGCTTGCCTGCCTTTCCCCATGACCAATAAAATTTCTAAGAGAGCAGCCGTGCTGTGAGCACTGTTTCCTGGGAAGGGGCTCTGGGACCCTCCACTGTCAGGCTTGGCAGGAAGACAGGGCAGAGGGCTGGGAACCTTAGGTCCCGAAGCACAATCAGAGTGTCTTCCTGGAACCCTCAACCCCATCTGTGTTTACCGAACCTCAGAAATAGGAAGAGTGAAAAAAAAGCCAGGAAGAGAATTAACTTTGGTCACTGTCCTCTGGAGGACCCCAGAGGGAGAAAAGTCTCACATATAAATATGTCTTCTAGTCCCAGCAGGTGCCTTCCACAGTGACACATTCCAGGAGAGCAGGAGCTGAGGGGTTCTGGGTTGAGGCGGGGCATGAGAGGAGTTCCCTGTCCTGGGACTTTGGCGGATGAGCTGGGTAGCTCTGAGCAGCCCCAGCTGGGTCAGCGGGAGGGGGTGGGCTGTCCTGGCTTCCTGGTGACTAGTGAAGGTTGGTGCATTACAGGCATACAAGCAACAGCAGGTTATTAGGGTCTCCGGAGAAGCAAAACCAGTAAGATATTGTAGGGGAAGCGAAATTTTCCCTCTGTCCCTTTAAGGTTTTTTGGCTGGGACTGAGAATTAACTGAAGACAGATCAGCAGGAGACAGCATTCAAATGTACTTAATACAGTACATGTGGCGTGGGAGCCTGCGTAGGGATTAAGACCCAAGGATGCAGCTGGAGTCGAACACTCATACTGAGTTGGACAAAGTGGTAATTTGTGAAAATGCGACAAGGCTAATGGGCTTGGGCCAGGGTAGTTAAGTGGGTAGAGAAGTGAGTGACTAGGTTAGTTTAGTAAGGTTTGCTTGTACACATTTCTCATCCTTGATAAGAATGATACTTTCCTTCTGGTATAGGGCTGACATCTCTCACATGGGAATTTCATCTCCTGCTCTTTTTTTTTTGAGATGGAGTCTCACTGTGTTGCCCGGGCTAGAGTGCCGTGGCATCATCCTAGCTCACAGCAACCTCAAACTCCTGGGCTGAAGCGATCCTCCTGCCTCAGCCTCCCGAGTAGCTGGGACTACAGACATGCGCCACTATGCCCGGCTAATTTTTTCTATATATTTTTAGTTGTCTGATTAATTTCTTTCTATTTTTAGTAGAGACGGGGGTCTCACTCTTGCTCAGGCTGGTTTCGAACTCTTGAGCTCAAACAATCCGCCCGCCTCGGCCTCCCAGAGAGCTAGGATTACAGGTGTGAGCCACCGCGCCCGGCCCATCTTCTGCTCTTAAGAAGGAAGGTCAGAGCGATCTCGCAGCTGCTGTTTTCCAAGAGTCTTTCTCTCACGAGAGTCAGTATGCCAGGGTGGCATATCTCGTTCCCCTCATCTGAAACTTACCTCGAGGTTTCACATATTAAAAGCCGAATTGGTGGCTGTGGAGAGAACAATTGGTTTAGTAACTGAGTGGCAAGAGATCCGCGAAGAGAGAGGAGAAAATAGATTAGAATGGGAAGAATAAACAAAACAAAATTCAGCACATTTCCCCATATTTCTGTAAACCAATATCCTATCCCTGGGAATAGGTGCACTAAAAAGGCTGAGCCTCATTTATCTTATCTGATGGAGAGTGTTTACCTTGTTCTTTAAGAGGTACAGATTAGATGCTTTTTGCCCCGAGCGATTGGCACAGAAGCATGTTCTTCACTGATGCTCTCAGAAGCTTGTCCTCATTGGGCTCTCAGTGTGTCCAGGACATGGCAATTTTGAAGTACAACAGACACCGAATTACGAACTTATTGCTGGAGTGCTTCTAAAGTTTGCATAATAATGTTGAACCCTTGTTCTATTACTATGGAAAGATTTAAGATTGCCTTTTTATAAATTCTCAATCCTGGCAAAAGGGATCTCCATACTGAAAAGAACTTAGTGCACTGGGGAATGAGTTTTGTGGGCGTCAGGGCAGAACCAATTATGTTTTAGTTCCTTAACCCTCCCCTGGCCGGACACGTCCCATCTGATGGGAGATAAGTACAAGCCAAAAGGTCAAAAGAAAGGGGCCACAGGAAGTCCATTTGGGCCCAGTATTTAAGCCATCTGAGAATTTTTTGGCACCCTTTTGTATCCATTTGTCTTTTTCAGATTATGGGACATCTGCCTGATAGTATCAGTCACAGCTAAAGGCAGGTTTATAAATTGTGTAGGAAAAAAAGTCATTTTTGGCTGCATATTTTGCAGCCATGTCAACACTATCATTCCCTACAGATATGGTATCAGTCTTTTTAGTACAGGCTGCTCAGGGAAGGACAGTAATTTTTCCAAGGAGGTGAATAGCGTGTGTCTCAGTCCGTTTTGTGTGGCTATAACAGAATACCTGAGATTGGGTAATTTATAGAGACCGGAAATTGTCCACTGTTCTGGAAGCTGAAAAGTCCAAGATCAAGGCACCAGCAGGTTCAGTCTCTGGATTCAAGATAGCATCTTGTTGCTGTGTCCTCCAGAGAGGAACGTGGTGTTGTCACATGGTAGAAGAGGAGAAGCAAGTGAACCCACCCCAGCAAGCCCTTTTTATAGTGGCATTAATCCATTCATGAGGGTGGAGCCCTCATGACCTGAGCATCTCCCATTAGGCCACATTTCCTGACATTGTTGCATTGGGGATTAAGTTTCCAAGGCATGAACTTTGGGGGACACATTCAGACCATAGTAGCCTATAATAGGGCAGCAATTACATGCCCACTGGCACTAGGAGTAGCAGCAGAGGTTAAGAATTCATGGGATTTCCAGATTATGCCAACAGCATGGCAGACTCCAAAAGCATATCTGGTCAGTATATGTTGCTCCATAAATTAATATATATATATTGGAGACAGAAACGTCTCAGGAGTTTTCCAGAGCTTTGCCCTGAAGGAATATATGAACGTGTTAGTTTGCATATCGAAAGCTGTTTCACCTCAGGAGGGCATCTCTGAAAGATCAATAGCAGCTGTATCCCACAATGGCGCTGCGATTCTCAGACCTGAGGTTTGGACTTGCTTTGTAAAGCAAAGCAGGTCTGCTAAGAGCCACAGGATGAGAGCTGATCAAAGAATGCCCACCCGACAGACAGCCACCTGTAGCTGAAAGCAATTAGCCCAAGGGACAGTTCCTGCTTAAACTCCTGACTACCTGTCTCAATACACAGTAACTTGATAAAGAAAATATGGAACCACTGTATCTGTTTAACCCTTCTGTTAAGTGATAAATTTACCTTAGAACTTAGAAGTTAGTCTTTGAAAGATTTTGTAACCATTTGTTCACGTAGATAGAGTTAGTTAAGGGATCTGAAGAAGCCTTTTGAAAACTTTTAACCTAAGAGGAACTACCTGTTGTGATGTAAATCTGTTAGCCCTGGCAACCAACCGATCACTGTACCTATAAATGCCCATGTAAAACTTCACTCTTGGCCTTTTGTGATTGACGGAGAGATCCAAGGCCCCCTGAGTACCCGCTTTGCCTATAATCTTTATAAATCTATAAAACTATACCTGTGTTTCTGTGTATTCTTTTATTTCCATTATGTTCCATTTTCTATTATTTTCTATTATTTTCTTATCCTGTGCAACGACCCCTACCTAAGGGACCCGATTTTTTGCTGGGAGCATAGCTAACTCCCTGCAGATGAGAAAGAGATAGCTATGACTTTGGCATAGCCTCCCAAAACTAGACTCCTCTGGCTCCCCAAGACCAGGTCCTGAGAACTGTCAGTGATGGGGAAGTGAGAAGAGCTCACTTGGAGATGGAAGGGTGGGGAAGACACCAAGGTGAGGGAGGTGACAGGAGAGAGAAACTAAAGGGCCCAGCTCTCTCCTTGGCGTCGGCATTTGGCTGCAGAGTTGGAGAAAGTGGAACAGACTAAAGGGGCCCTGGCCAGGTGCTGGGGTGCCCTATCCACGGACTGTGGGCACCACTGGTGTTGCTCCTGGATACAGCACCCAGGCCTGGAGATCTCCGCAGGGAGACTCAGGCCACTGGGGAGAGCCAGGGGTGACTTCGGAGCTGGGCCAGGCCTGCTCCATCTGGCCCCAGATCACACCTCCCTCACTTCTCTTTTGAAACTCCACTTCCCTTGTGGCTGGTTCTAGCTGGCCTCTGTGAAAATATGCAAATACCAACCAAATAAGAACAGGCAGAGTCTACTTATTGTGAGCTTGCTATGACAGGGAGCTGGCCACTGTCACTTGGGTTTGGCAGAGACTCGGAGGCAGGCCGAGGAATGAGAATGCCTTAGAATGGACCAAAGGGAAGGCTCAGGTGTGTCCTCGTGGGGGGCTGTTAACCTGAGGGCGCTGGAGGCGGCTGCAACATGTGGGAGTCCCATGTGGTTGGGGAGGAGGCACACTTGGCTTTCTCCCCCCGTTGGTCCTAAGTTGGAAATGGGGACAAAAATTGGGGAAGCCGGCAGTCATTAATCAAGTCCTGGTCATTTTGGGCTGACTGTGACAGAAGTTATTGTGTGGCTTCCTGAATTGTCCCTAGAGAGAGCAATCTGACTTAGAGCAGGCTGGCTCCCTGGCTGGTCACTGCAGACAAGGGGTTGGTTTCCTGGCTGCTGCCGAAAGTCGAGGGTTCCGAGTTCTGTTTGACCTACGGTCTGGCCATTGCGTGCTTGTGTGTTCAGTGTCTTGCTTCTCTGGAGACATGTGACCCCAGCCACACCGTCTGGAGCCTTTTCGTTACCATCTGAAGCTCGAGCGGAGAAAGCAGGAGCCCCTGTATCTGCCTTTTGAGGAACAGCTCCTGGCCGATTTCTGGACTGTTGGGGAGGGGGAACTAGACTCTGGGTCACAGGTCTCCAGAGGAAGCTTTAGACTGTGTCACCCATCAGAACGCCAAGATACAAAGCCAGTGGTATGGTTTGGTTATTTGTCCCCTCCAAATTGCATGTTGAAATTTGATCCCCAATGTTGGAGGTGGGGCCTGGTGGGAGATGTTTGGGTCATGGGGGTGGATTCCCCATGAAAATCTTGGTGCCATCCTCATGGTAATGAATGAATTTTCACTCTATTA